ACCTCGCCCCCACCAGGCCTGGTGGCCTCGCTGTTCCGCCACTACCCGGGCCATCGGTCCGCCCTCATGGCAGACTTCCTGTCCCACGTTATCAGGCAGCTGGGCGCCAGCGGCCGCACGCCGCCGCGGCCGTGCATCGCGGGCGCCGGGGCTGGCGGCGGCGGGCAGGTTTGCGTGCAGGTGGCGACGGCGGCCGTGGTTTGGATGATCCAGGTGGGGCGGGGGCAAGGGGCAACTGGCACGCCGCTGTGCATGCGTCGCCTGGGGTTCCCTGCAAATTCAACAACTGACCTGGCGCCAGCACTTGGGCAGCGCCATGACCTACAACTGGCAATGTGCTCGCTTGCCGCCCCGCGTCAAACTTGTGTTGGAGGTCGGGGCTTTTGCCGTGAGAGAAGCAGCCAGCAGCGCCACCGCCCAAAGGGCTGTCGCCCCTGCGCCCCCCTCCACCACCGCAGGCGAGCGTGTCGCTCCCGCCCCTGGACGCGCCGCCCGACGCCGCGCGGGCGTGCTACAGCGCCGCCGCCGTGTGGGCGGGCGCGTTCTGGGACGGCGTCTTTGACATGCTGCCGGCGGCGAGGGCCGCGAAGAGCGACAGCGCGCAGGACACACGCGCCGTGGTGGACGGCCTGCTCGCAGGTGACCAATTCTGGGGCCTTGCTCCAGCTTCACTTTGGAGTGGTACCTGCAGGGTTGCACGCCAAAGCGGCGCTTGCAAATGCGCCAGAGCATTGGCTTGCGCAAATGGCGCTTACAAAAGCCAGTGCCCTGGCGCTTCGTCGTCCCGCACGCCAAGCTGCCGGTTATGCCTCCTTGAACTGCAGCGTAGGGGCCCTCGCACCCCTGGTCAAGGCCCCCATCTGGCCGTCCGACGCCCTTCTGCTTCTGCCGCCCTCCTCTCACGCATATGCCTTCGTCCATTTTCCCTCGGCACCCCCAGACATGCTGGCGGTGCAGTGCCTGCCGGAGTGGCCCGCCGCTAACGTCCTGCTGCGCCTGTTCGCCAAGGCGCTCTCGAGCCCCAAGGTAGCCGGCAGACTGCTCTACCTGCCCGCTTCCACCTCTCGCTGCACTTGCGTCTCGTATGCACACCTGCTAACGGGCAGCTTTATACCCCTCGTGAGGGCTGCATAAGTACAAAAGCGCCGCTTCCCCGTCATCCGCGTTCGGTGACAAGAACCCTATTGTTGACGGCTGCGACAGTCCGCCAGCACCCGGCCCATCGCCCGCCTGCACTGGCAAGGGACTGCAAGAGCGGCGCACCCCCTTGAATCCATCTCAACCATGGCGCCTCTGCCTTTGCAACTGCCTACGACTCTGCCTGTGCCCTCTCCGCCTCCCGCTCCCACCGAAGGGCCTGGGCCACTGCGACTCTGGCGTCAAGGCGCTCTGCGTGGACTTCACAGGCCATCTCGTCAGGGGCCTCTGCGAGGAGGCGCTGCGGGTGCGGCCACGCGGGCCCATGCCGCTCAAAAGGACATGAATCGCTAGATCAAAACCAACGACTCCTCTGGGGCGGTGCGGAGGCATGCTCCACACCTCATGCCTCTGAAACCACAGAGTCGCGCGCCGCTGGCTGGACCTGCCTGGCACCGCGCGCCCTGCCCTTCCTCTGCCGCCCTTATCGCACCCGCCGCTACGCCGCCCGGACGCTCATCACACCATCCCCTTTGCGTTGACGTACAAATGACGTCACCGCAGGCGGACGCGGAGTCCCAGTGGGTGCAGGGGCTGGCTGACCTGGTGGAGGAGGAGCAGAAGGACAGGCGCAGTGGCAGCTCAGGTGCGTGGCAGGCCAGTACATTGGCAAGGGGCGTCTCGCCAGGAGCCGCGGCCTGCGTCCTGGCCATGCGCTTCCCTGAACCCGCGGGCTGCTGTCATATCTCTGCGGGCGAATCGAGCCCGGCCCGACCGCGCGGCCCGCCCTGTCGCCGCCCATCGCAGAGGGCGGGGCGCCCGACGCCGGCGCAGAGGGCGCGGAGGGCGCCGCCGGCCGCCGCGCCGCGACGCTGCAGCGGGTCCTGCTTGAGTCCATGGGCGCCTGGGGCGGCGGCGGCGGCGGTGCGGCGGCGCTGACGTCATCCAATGAGTCATCTGACGACGCGTCCTGCGGCGGCGCCAGCGGCGCACGGCGCTTCTTGGCGTGCCAGATGCTACACGACGCCCTCGTGGCGTCCGCGCGCGCCTCGGCGGGCGGCGGCGGGGCCGCCGCCGCGCGGCCGCGCAAGTCAGAGGCTGCGTCGCTGCTGGTGGCGCACCGCGGGATGCTGGAGGCGCGGGGCGGCGGCTTGCTGGCGGGGGTCTGCGCGCAGGGTGCGCCTCGCGCTTCGCAACCCCGGCAGTGCCGCCTCGGGGCCCATGTCCTGCTGTCGACGCACACATGTTGGGGCCTTGCACAAGAACTCCTCCCTCTGCATTATTGCTTACGGCATCGCTCCGCCCCCTGCTGATGCCGCCCTGCCCTCATTTGCAAATGCGCTCGCGCGGCGCGGACGGAATATGCAGACGGCACGCCGCTGACGCTGGACGCGTCCCAGGCCGCCCGCGTCGCGCGGCGACTGGTGGTGGACGGCCCCCTGGGGGCGGGGCGCGCCACGATGCTGGGCTGGCTGGTCGACGCGGGGGACAGGCAGCGACAGGACGCAAACGCGGCAATGGTGCGCCCCTTGGGCGCCTCGGCCGTGTGGCCCCGTGCGTCCGCCCAGCTTCGTGCGGGCATCTGCGTGGGCTGTTCTCAGCACCCCAGCCTGGCCGCTCGCTGTCTGCCGGAGCGCCGCACCTGAGCAAACCTGTCTCATCCGCCCGCTGGTGGTGGGCCATTACCCCAGGTGCGTGCCAAGGCCATCAAGTGCATCGGTGCGGTGGCCGAGGTCGACTCCCGGGTCCTCACTATGCCCGAGGTCCAGCGCGGCGTCGCTGCGGCGCTGCAGGTGCGCGTGGGCGCCGACAGCGCCCCTGCATCGTTTGGTGGATGCGGGCGGGGCATGCGCCGTAAGGGCTGCTGCCTGGCGGCGGCGCCGGCGGTGCGCTGACAGGCGCTGCTGTTGCGGCAGCGCTTTCACCCCCTGGGGCCTCCCAAAACCTCCTGCCGCCCCATATTTTGATGAGGTCATGCGAAGCCCCCTGGTGCCCTCCCTTCCAAGCCCAGCAATCCCTCCACGACCTCGCTGATGCGTAACCCTCATGACAGCGCACCTGTTTGCCCCCCAAATACATACATGCGTTCACACCCTACGCTGGACCTGCTACTCCCACTCACATAAACACACACGCTCACACACACGCACGCATGCACATACACACACACCCCACATCATGCCTGCTCTTCCCCTTCACACACCGCTTCACCCCAAATCCCTGCACATTGCCCATCACCCGTCACCCAAAGGACGACGGCGTGTCTGTGCGCGAGGCGGCGGTGGAGCTGCTGGCCAAGCACATCACCACTGACCCCGCCCTGGCGGAGGACTACTTCGAGGTCCTGGCAGAGGCCAGCACGGTGAGGTGCTTTCGAATTCAAATGCGGCTGTCGGTGTGCGGCCCGATCTGATTTGGCAGTTGATTTGGGGAAAGGGGGTGGTGCGCTCGTGGGGAGTGAGGACAAGGGGCAGCTGCGAAGCGGAGTTGAGGCGAGGCCCCAGAGCTGCAGCAAACCCGCTAAACTGCCGCCGCTGCCGCCGCCGCCGCCGCCGCAGGACAAGGGCGTGTCGATGCGAAAGCGCGCGGTCAAAGCGCTGTGGGAGTGCTGCGCGCGCTGCCCGGGGTTCACGCGCAGGACTGACGCAGTGGTGGCCATCCTGCAGCGGTGGGTGCGGCCGGGGCCAGCGACAGCGGGGCCGCGCCAGTGACGATTTTGACCTGTCACTCCATCCTCAACCTCTACCCCATTTCTCGGCCGACTGGCGTGGGGACCTGCGCCACACTTCGTCGCGGCCGGCCTGGCCTTGGCTGGGCTCGTCTCTCGACACATCACATTGTGCAGGCATTTTGTTGCACATGTTATCTTCAAAATGGTCAAAAACTGAGAGCTGGGCCACGCCACCCCTCGCGACGTGTCCAATCCACCCGCCGCGCCCCTCAGGGTGGCGGACCACGAGGAGAGCATGCGGGCGCTGGTGACGCGGCTGTGCGCCGACATGTGGTTCACGCCGGGGCTTGGCGGAGAGGGCGAGGTGCGCGCCTGCAGCCGGCTCTGGCACCCTCAGGCTTTCGGCATCGGCCAGCTATGGTGGCGGCGCGTGCCGGACGGCAGCGGCCCCTCGGGCTCGTCCGCTTCACTTTGTTGGTTGCGGGTTGTATGCTCTGCGTAGAGGGGTGTCCTTGGGTGTGGCTGCCCCCAATTCGCGTGGGTCCCCCACCACGCCAATGCGCGCCCCGCCCCCGCCCCACGCAGGCGCCCGCGGCCGGCGCCGCGCCGCACGTCGGCGCCGCCCAGCGCGCCGCCGAGCTGTCTCGCGTCGCGCTCGCTGTCTACAGCGCCGGCGGGCGCGGCATACACCTCCCACTCGCGCCCGACCACCCGTTGGTCGCCGTCGTCGCAGCGGCGCTCTCCGCGGGCGCCCCCAAGGAGGAGGGCGCCCGCGGCGCCGCGCCGGCGGCGGCGGCGGCCAAGGCGGTGCACAGGGGCGCGGCCGACGTGGCCGACGCCCTCCTGGATCAGATAGTGCAGCTCCAGGGCGGCGGCGGCGGCGGCTTGGATGGCGGCGAGGACGGCGGGGCAGCAGAGGGGGAGGCAGGAGGGTCGGGGGCGCTGTTTTCCCGGCTGCTCGCGCTGCACGCGCTGGCCGCGGCGGACCCGTTGCTGGCCGCGCCGCCGCGGGACCCGCAGCGGTTCGTGCGGGCGCTCGCGCCGTACGCGGCGGCGCCGGACGCTGAGGCGCTGCAGGGGCTCACAGATGGTGAGTCGGTGAGGGGAGGCGGCATCGGTTGGACTGGGTGCTGGTAGAAGTGCGCGTTTGTCTGGCGTGTGTGGGTGGCTGTCAGTGATGCACTCCAGCGAGACTTGCGCGACCCTAAGGGCGCCTGTGCAAAATGTACCTTATGCATCACCGTCCGCCTGTACCCGCCGACGTCGGCGTGAACCAGTTGCCTGGTTTCGCGCCCTCATCGGCAGCGTGGCGCTGGTCTCCCCCCACACACAATGCGCCCTGCGGACCGTTGAGGCCGCCTCATGATAACCCCTACCCCCATTCTCAAACCGCCCCATAGATGCCAAGCGTCGCGGCGCCGAGGAGCTGCTGTGCCTGCTGGCGGTCCTGCAGGCAGCTTCCTCGCAGCTGCGCGCGTTGGCCGCGACCGTGGGGTCGCAGCTCACGCGTGACCTTGCCAACATCACGACAAAGCACATATTCACGCAGGTGCGCCCCCACATGCCGTGGCCCCATTGGGCCCCTTGCTCTCTTTTGCGTGCATCAGGGGGTGGGGGTTGTCCGACTGGCAAGCGTTGGCCACGGTATTGGTGGCTGCGCCGGCCGCCCTGTGGCGGCGTTGCGCGCGCCGCTGTGATTCCCGAAACATGGGCAGGAGCACCCTGGGCACGCGCACGCACGCGTCCCCAGAGGTGAGGAGCGCTTTTGCAAGAGTCACAGTCATGTCGTCAAACGCAGCGCGAGCCATGCCCATCCCCAACTGCTCCAACCCCGGCAGGTGGTCGTGTCGGCATCCGGCTGCCTGTGCAGCCTGTCGCGGCTGGACGCATCGGTGGGGCCGATGGTGGGCGCCATGGCACGCAGGATGTACGACGTGGTGAGCGGGCGGGGCGGGGCTGGCTGCGATGCGTTGTCGGCAGGGCGCTCGGGGCTGGGCATGAAGTGGGAGGGGGCGGGTGTGGTGGTTGGAGGTAGCAGGGCGACCACGGTGACACAACCTGAGCGGGCAAGTCTAGGTGCGGCGCAGGTGGAGGGGCCAGCAGCTGCGGGGCAACATCGCTCGGTGTAGGTCTGCGGCACCCAGCGTCACGGGCCCAGTCGTGGCGCTAAGCACCAACCCTGCTCACGGGGGGCTTCCGATAGCCAAACCCCTGCCGGCCCCTGGCGCTGTCGGCTCCTGATGTCGGCCACCCCATCCCTACCTCCTTTCTACCCAGGTGGAGGCGGCCCTGGCGCCGCCTGTGCAGGGCGACGAGGCGCATGCGCGCGCGCAGAGGCAGGCGGTCTTGCAGCTGCCCAGGCGAGTGGACATCGGCCCCGAGCGACAGCTGCCGGGGGCTGCTTTGGTCGTCCTCCCCATCCCACCTTTACCCCCCACTCAGCTCCCCTCAGCCCCTGTGGCACCCCTCGTACCCCTCTCATGCGCACACACACCCTGTCGTCCCGCCTGTCCCCCCTCATCTCCTCCCACCTCTGCTCATTCCTCCGTACTCTCCTCCCCCCAAAAAACACACCCCGCCTCAGGGTCTTGTTCCTCCTGGGCCACCTATGCCGCCATGGGGCCGACCTTCTTGATGACGCCGCCGCCGCCGCCGCCTCACATCAGTCATCGGACAGCGGCCCCAGCAGCGCCGGGGCGGGCGCTGCTGCGCAGCCGCCGCCCCCTGCCGCGGCGCCGTCGTCGGCGCAGTGCCTGGAGCTTTTCCTGCGCGTGTGGCGGGCGCCGCGGCTTGGGCCCAGCGCGCTCGACACGGCGCTGCAGGTGGGGTCGCCCGCCAGGGGCATGCGTCGTGCACACCCCAACCATGTCCAGTGTATTTCTCCCGCATGCGCCATCATTCATTCAACATTTGAAACATTTGAAACATACGACCGCCTCTCCATGTCCAAAATATCTCGTGCGCCCTCCATCGGCGTCGCCTCGCGCCCCGGCAGGCCATGGGGCTGCTGTTCATTGCGCGGCCGTCGCTGATCCTGCGCGAGGGCAGCGGCGCGGCGGAGGTGTACCGGCAGGCGCTGCACGGCGGCGGCGGCGGGCCACAAACGCGGCTTAGGGTGCTGGCGAACCTAGTGGAGCTGCTGAGGTGATTGGGAGGGGCGAAAGGAGAGGGCGCCGGGCACCATGCAGTGCACTGTGCACGGCGCGCACGCGACGAGCGTTGGTGCAGTAGACGCGCTTGTCTCCGAGGCCGCCCTCTCCGCTGCATCGAATCTGGTCACATGCCTGTTCTGTGTTGCTGACTCATTGTGTGCTCTGATGACTCACCGGTCATACTGCTGACTTATGAAAAGGTCTGACGAGGACAACATGCTGGCGAGCCAGAAGGCGTCCGAGGCGGCGGCCGCGGCCGCGCAGCAGGCGTCGACGCTGCCCGCAGCGGCGCGGGGCGCTCTGCAGCGCCAGAACGGCGAGGGGGACGGCGGCCACCTCAGCAGCGGCCTGCTGCAGGCGCGTGCCCGTATTGGGGGTCTGGAGCGTCGCACAGCGAATCGCTTTGGTGGCTGCTGCTGTTCGTTCCTGCCGACGACCTTCTGGTGCATTGCTTGCTGCCTCCCTGAGCCTTGCAATCAGACAGTCCGGGATGGCAGCACTCTGCCAGCCTGGAAAGATGGCTTGAATGTCGCCAGCAGCTGCTCCCCGTGCCCCCGCCGGCGGGGGGGGGGTCACGGCAAACCCTACTTACCCCCTTTTATCAGTTGCAACACAGGACACTGGGACCCAACCATAACAACCGCCACGTCACCCACCCCCAGGGCATGTGGGCCGACGTCTTGTCGCTGGCGGTCGAGGCGCCCCCGCCCGGCGGCGCGCACGCCGCCGCCCCCTCGC